CCTTTTTTTTTTTTTTTTTTTTTACAAAAAAAGCACTGACAAAATGTAATAAGATTTAAAGTCAAGGATTTTCAATGGCATATTAAAAACAAAATAAACAGAGTATAGATCAGGGGTGTCAAACTGCCGGCCCGTGGGCCGGACGCGTCATGCGGAAGCCACGCCCACCCCATTGCCGGCAATGGCAAAACTCTCCCGATACCTTGCGCGACATCACGTGACGTCGCGAGTTTGACATGTCTGGTATAGATAGCTTAAACCTGACCTTTGCCTCCTGTTTGCTTCCTGCATACTCCTTATGCAATTAACTCTATTAGCTAACAAGAAACTAGGTGATTGGTCTATGTTGACCACCACAAATTCCAGCAGATATAACAAGCTATACAAAGCTGGGAAGAAGAATCTTCTAGCATTTCACTTCCTTAACTTTTCCCAACTTGATGATTTCCCATGATTGGAGAAGTTAAAAGTCCAAGATATCCAGAAGTCACCAAGCTGGAGAAGGTTTCCCTACCCACTAGGTCACTGCTAAAAAAATCATTTTCATGATTGGTATTAAGCTTTGGAATCAGAGACAGATTGTCCTGGCTTTTCAGAACATTCTTTATAGATTGACTTTATGCAGTTAATGCTTGATCAGTAGAGTAAATGCAACGTGCTGTCTTGCTACATGCTATGGGCGTTCTCCTTCTGAGAACTGTAAATTGTATCCACTCAAAGAATCTGACTGAATCAAAAACTGGCAGTAACAAAGCTTTGAAAAACAGACTTTCCAAAACCTAGGCAGGGATAGGCTTCAGTGAGCATTAATAATACTTTATGTTGGGACTCCATGCAGTAACTGTCTCAGGAAGCTTTTGGAACAAGTCTATGCAGTGCAAGTAGACAAACTTGAGATAGATGAAAAAATATGGTAATGCATTTCAAAAAGCATTAAACTGTGTTTCATACGAGAGAAGATAGCTGAGTTGCACAAGGTAAGAAGTGTTGAAAAATGGTTTTGAATTTTGATTTTACACAGGCTTTGAAGAAAATGGTATACAAATCTTTGAGAGCATTGAACATGCTAGAATTGCTATTGGGGTTCTTGGGATTTATTCAAGGTTGTCTCTAATTACCTTTGCCAGTACTATTAATAGGACTGAATTTTAATACAGAATGTATGGGTTCTTTTGTTCATTTGATTTATGTTTGCAATGGACCTGGTTTCAGATTAAAGCCTTCAGCTTTGAAAGTTGGTAGTTCTGATTATGTTTTGCATATTAGCATTAGCAATGGTGCAGTTTCATAATATAGTATGGAGACACTATTATATATAATAGGCTGATAAAATCTGTGCTGCTCAGATCTGGCCATAATTATCCATGATACTGTTGTGTCATAAATAGATTACTACACTGCTTTCTCCCAGTTGCTGATAGTTGGTTTATACTCCTATTTTCTTTTCACAATGAAATGCCTCACTGGCAAACACATATGCTTTGTATCTTTCAAATGAAATGGTGTGACTTTCATTCCGTTAATCATTCTCAACTTGTAATGGTTCCAAATTACATAATTAGACAATAATTGAGCCTGAAATTATGGTTGTAAGTTGTGCTGGTCGTTAAGTGGGTCAATAACTGACCCAATTTTATGACATTTTTTGCAGCAGTTGTTAAGAAAATCCATGGCCATTAAGCGAATGCAGAGTCATTAAGCAAACCTATTGTCTGCATGGACGTTTTTTCCCCAAAACCAAAAGTAAATACAGTTTCCCATTAAAAAAAACATAAATCATGATTACATGACCATGGGACATTGCAAACAACTCTAAATGCGGGCTGGTTGCCATGTTCCCCAAATGGCCATCAGAACTTTGAATCTGACTCAGAAGTCCTGAGTCTCATGTTATGATAAATCTGTCATAACTTTGAACAGTTGCTAATTGACTGATGTAAATTGAGGACTACCTGTAATGATATGCTTGCTCAATTGATTGGCTAGTTTTGGAAAGTTTTTATTTAACAATTTAGTAAAAAAACATAGGCCATGTGATATTGATGGATTTCTCTACAAAAGGAGGGGGGAAAATAAATGTCCTTCTCAACTTTATCATTGCCTGATTAATGTGCTCCATATGGAGGATTTGAAAACTGGATGAGCTCAGAATATAAATTTACAATAAGAACAATCAGGTAACTTGTTCATAAATGAACACAGTAGTTCTTTGCAAATATTACACCTAGCAATAGTGTATTTTTATTGTAATGTCCACCACTGGCCTACCAGTGACTAGAAAGCTACTTGGAAAAGCAATTAAGGCAAAAAAGAATGAAACAGTGTAAATATTATTCTAAAATCTACTCTAGAACAGAGGTCCCCAACCCCCGGCCCATTGAGAACCGAGCCATGCAAGCTGCAGGTGAGCACGCATGCAAAGTTCCATTTGCTCAAGTGGCAGGTGCATGTGCAAAAACATGCCCTCTCCCTCCTCTGCCACCACCGCTGCCACCGCTGCTGGTCCACAGAGCTGGAAAGGTTGGGGACCGTTGTTCTAGAAGTGCATTGTCACATTTATCCTAGAGTGTCATTTTTTCCCATATAATCTTGAATGACCTCAGCCATTTTACTTTGTGAATCGTAGTTGATCATCCATATTCTATGTGTGGCACTTAGCACACATCCCTTTCTCTGCAGAGATTTTCTTAGTTCCTCCAAGTTTCCTGCCAGACCTGCATTTACCCACATTTTATAAAGAGGAAAGTGGAATGCTTCAAAGTGGTGTGCCACCTTCTAATAACACTTTTATTCCCAAGAATTTTCATTGAACTAAATGGATCCAATAATTAGGAAACACTATTTGATGGCGACTTGGAACAAAGAAAATTGAGGCAGGAGAGGGGAAAGCTATGGTAGCAACAAGTTTTATATTGTTTTAACTTTTCTGCCAATTCAATAATAGGCAAATGGCAGCTAATCCAAAATGAAGGCAGAAGCATTAAAGTATATTTTGCTGCTGTTATTGAATTGTTGATATTTTGAAAGATATAAATGAGAGAGACAAGACAGATCCAGAAGATAAGTTTGGGGAAAGAGCCTAAAGTCTATAACCTCTCTGTTTTCTTGACAATTTTTCCAAAATACATACAAACATAATGGAGGCATGCATATATCATACCTTTTCTTGAAAGATAAAATTAGAACTTTTTTCTCTTGAAAATATAATGTAGGGAATCGCTTTGGAATGATGGCAACACTGACTGATTAAGAACCTCTCATCCCATGCAACATTTCTAGTCTAACTCAGATTTCTGGCTGTAGTCATTTCTTCTTGAATATCAACATTGTCAGCACAAGATGTATGGCTAATACTAATTTTTTAAAAGGCCAGATGTCACTGGGGGAAAAAACCTCAGATTCACGTTTGACATTGTCTGATCAGTTTTTGATCAGAATAAAAGAAAAATAAAAGGAAAGATAAAAACAAAAAAAAAACAAATTAAAAATGAGTTGTATTTTTAAAGTACACAAGTGTGGTAACTGCATAGCACATGTTTAAGAAACAGTGATACGAAAGAACTATAAGCTTTCATTGAAAAATTAAAACATTCCACACAGGGTTTTATTTTACTTTATTTCAAGACAGTCTTATTTTTAAAGAAACCTTTTGAAATACATAGTTTAGTTTTGAAAGATTAATTTAATTTTGCCTTTTTTTTTCTTATAAAGCTCACCCTGATGCCCTCCAGATACAGTGGGAATAATGGCAATTTGGCTGATTTAAAGAGTTACAATATATCTGAAAGGGAGACTGCTCTACTTTAACTGAATGTTTCACAGTCAAATACTCATGATATATTGTTTAATGTAACCATTATTTTGGAAGACCAATTTTTGTCCTTTCTGGTTTGGTCAAGACATATAACTGAATGGAAAGTTTTCCACTAAAAGGAAACCAGGAGAATTGGAGGACTGCTTAATATAGAAGAAATTATTAATATGTAATGTTCCCTTATATGATTTTTATTATTTTTAGGAGTGTTTTCATATTAAATGAATTGTTATCCCTACAATATGATTATATGCCACCCAGAATCACTTGTGTCAAGCTACAAAGATTGCTTGCACTAGGACAGACATGCCACTTCTAGCTTGCCAACAGTTCCGAGGGGGGAGGGGAATGTATGGAATGCACAAGTGGTTTCTATCCATTGGGAAGCAAGGTCGCAGAAGAGATGTTATGGCAAGCAGAGATTAATTGGACAATGTGACTTGAAGTGTCAGAGAAGGAAAGGAAAGTTTATTCTTTTGACTATCTTTCTGGCACCATATTGCCAGAGCTGGTTTTCCATTCATTAGTGCCAGTATGCTGTGCTCAATAAAGTTTTTGCATTAGAGATCATAATGTCTCAGGTGTGGTTACTTCATTGGGATTGTCAGCCGGAACTTTGACAACTTGGTTGAGATGAATGGCAGTAGAAATTGAATGTAGGAGATGACCAGGCTGAGCCCGACAGAAGGGCTCAAATGTACCATCAATCATGAGTCTCTTCATTCCCACAAGAGATCTAAGTCTGGCTCACCTTGAATTCTTTTGACTCTTATCTACCACCAATTTGCTTTAACTGTCAATAGTTCAAATTATTGTAGAGAGCTTAAGCTTGCAATAAACCTTTATACTCATTTGACCTGCCTAGACCTTCTGATTTCCCTGGCGCTTGACATTGAATGAATAAATAAATATATAGTTTTTGCCTAGAACATTTCTTCATTAGTACAAAATATTTTCTTCAAAATCAGGTGATGTCTATTGTGATATAGCTGTTCCATATGCAGATGTTCTTAGAATCCCCTAAAATATTGAAATATTCATTGGAAATATTAATGTTTGGACCAATATTTGTAAACTTGAAGTATCCCCTAACAGCAAAAGATATTTATATAAACCACTTATCATTAAACTTCTGTTTAATGCTTTTGCGCCTCAAGTTAACATTGACCATTTTTTATTTTTCAAGTGGACTCTTCTGTGAAAATCCACCACCCATGGTTCTCCTCCAAACCAGTCCTTGTGATTATTATGAATGCCAAAATGGAGCGCAATGTATTGTTGTGCAGCAGGAACCAGTCTGCCGTTGCCTGGCAGGTTTTGCTGGCCAGAAGTGTGAGAAACTCATTACCGTCAATTTTGTTGGGAAGGATTCCTACGTTGAGCTTCCACCAGCCAAAATCCGTCAAGCAAACATCTCGCTTCAAGTAAGTTTTGCAGATAATATTATAAACTTTTCTCAACCCGGCTATTGCAAAGAGCTTAAGCAAAGGTCAATGAAAGCATTACATTCATCCCTGGTGTGCAACCCAAATAAATAAATTAGAAAGATGTACACAACTTAAAGCCTTAGGGTTTCATGCAGTCCTAAATATTCCAGGATTGTATTTTGTAATGTAACCAAAAGATAACATTATTAAATATATTGGAAATGACCATATTAATTGCGTAAGATTAAGTTATTTATTGTTCTAATTACAGCTTCTCCAAAGCCACATACAGTCCTTGATCAAAGGACAGTTACAGACTTCACTTTGCTGGAAAAAATTGATAAATCACCTGTAATAACTGATATTTTTAGCAATTTATTAAATCAATCTGCTTCATTTTACAATGCAGTCTGTACAACTCATAGTGTAAGACATCTATTTTTTATCTCATCACAGACTTTTCTCCAAAATACAGAAAGTAGACAAATGATCTTATTTTGCTTTTTTAAAGATTTTTTTTAATATACTTTTGTCTAGTTTTGCATGTATAAAAGAGTAAAATATGTCACATGAGTTATGAACTCAGGGCATAGTTTACATAGCTCACATTTTAGATTTCAGAAAAGAATTCTGATAAAAATGTATTTTGGATGATAATATGAAAGCCAGACTTGTTTACTACATGAATTTCACACAGATGGTGTTCTCAAAGCTTATTTCCCAGTTAAAACATTGCTTCTCCATCTGGTAGTTAATTGCCACTCATATTTAAAAAATAGTTTTAAGTAAGCATCTCTTGAAACAGGATTCGGAAGTCTTTCCTAAGGAAATGAAAGCTGATAAATAAAAAGCTACTTTCAGCTTACAAGCTCAGAAAAACTTTTTTTAAAATGTGATTTTTATAACATTTATATACTATTACTTATTTTGTTATTTTGAAACAGCCATAATATATAGAGCAGGGGTTCCCAACCAGGGGTGCTCGCATCCCCTGAGGGTGTGAAATCCAGGGGGTGCGAAAACTTGGGTTTTCAAAATTATAGTGTATATACATAACACGTTGCCGTTATTTTGAACTTTTGTAAGGGGTGCGAGAATATATCAGAAGCGTTCTAGGGGTGCGGGGTATAGGAAAGGTTGGGAACCACTGATATAGAGGATAGATATAATTGAAACTAGTATATATTGTTGGTAGAAGTACTGGGTTTAATTTCAAGGCCTTTCTTTAAAAGCAAGTGGGTGTAACTATATACAACCAAGTAAATGGGTTGTACAATAAAGATTAAAAAATTAGTCACTTGCACTCTTAAAATGTGGAGGGAAAAGGTGAGGCCCAGAATCACGTGAAACATGCCAGCATCTTTTTACCCTCCAGTGGTCCTCCGTATGGATAGAATAAATAGAATAAAAAGAAGAGTCCTTTTGTGGGGGGAGGGAAGAATTTAGGGTTTATTAAGGACCAAAATGGTGGCCTTCTGTTTTGTAGAGATTTAACAGAATGGTTGAACTCATGATTTAACACTTGAGAGTCCTCACAAAAAATAAATCCTGGCTTTACCCACGTTGTGAATATAGACTTTGCCACACAAAGTTTGCACGGGAGGGGGGAGGATGTTGATTCCTTAAAGTAGAGGCATCTATGCTTAGGATCACACAGAAAAAGATTGAAAAATAGGATAGAGGTTATGTGTTCTTATAAAATCCAAATCACTTTCAAAACATGCACAACACTTGTTCACATTCAGTCTTTTTCAGCCCTGTAGAGACAACCTTCCCAAAATTGAATGTACCCATCCTATGGTAACATCTCCAGAAGGCATTTTAAAGTCCTCCTACTGTATATCTGAAGTTATAGGGACATGGATGAGATGGCAAGTGGTAACCTGGCTCCAGAAGCGGTGAATGCTCCAACACTGGAAGTTTTTAAGAAGAGACTGGACAGCCATTTGTCTGAAATGGTGTAGAGTTCCTGCCTGAGCAGGGGGTTGGACTCGATGACCTCCAAGGTCCCTTCCAACTGTATCATTATCATTATCAATAATAATAATAATAATAATAATAATAATAATAATAATAACAACAACAACAACAACAACAACAACAACAACTTTCTTGGAGCCAGTTTGGAGTAATGGTTATGGTGCCAGGTTGGAAACCAGAAAACTGTGCGTTCTAGACTCACCTTAGACTCCCAAGTTGGATGACATTGGCCCAGTCCCTCTCTCTCAGCACTACTTTTGAAATCTTGTCAAGAAAATCACAGGGACATGCTCAGGCAGTCAGCAGGAATCTAGACTGGCTTTAAAGCTCAGAAAAAGAAAATCTATATTGGGAGAGGGTTATTTTATTATTCTTATTTTTTATAAGATTTAATGTAATATAACTCACCACACATACACAAACCTAATCTTTCCTTTTTGGGCAGGCTATAAAAACTATAAAATTTCTAAATTCTTTCAGTAAGGCGGCTGTTTTTATAAGGAGTCTATGTGTTAATAAGTTTCTAGAAAAGTATTATGTTGCCTATAAATCTCTTATAGCTGGGGAAGAAATTCTTTCCTAAGTAACACTGGGGATTTTTTAAAGTTACTAGAGACATGTTGGAAAATTATGTCTGAGTTACAACTTTTAAAACATCTCTGCTAGCTGGTGTGCAAGCTTTTGGGGTGGATAAGATAACCATAAAAGTTAAGAACAAGCAAAGTCAGAATTTCCAGCTTAGCCTCTGCTGTGCTGCAGTCACTCAACATGTCAAGCTCTGTACGCTCATAACTCTCTTCAAAACTGAATTGAGGGATATTTATCTGAGACAACCCTCACTCCACAATCCAGTATTCCAACTATCTTTCTGACATGACTAACGTGTCAGTATTCCATTTATTAAATGTGAGCACTTGTACTAGGAAAACTCTGTAGAGAAAGTTATAATTTGCATCGTGGTAACAGTAACCTACATCCTAATATTCAGTGGTATACAGAGGGTATTTTCTTTGGGATGCCATATAGACTTATTCTCATCACTGAATAACAATGTGATAAATTTGGGGTTAATGCTTAGTTAACCATTAAAAAAAACAATATGTAGTTACAATGTAGGGATGTACATATTTGCCTGCTGTTATATTATTATTTTCTTTTTCTTCTGTTCAAAGGTAGCAACTGATAAGGACAATGGCATCTTATTATACAAAGGGGACAATGATCCCCTGGCTTTAGAATTGTATCAAGGGCATGTGAGACTTATCTATGACACAGTGAATGCTCCACCTACAACTATATACAGGTAAGTCTGTCTGACAGACTTAGAATTAGTCAAAAAGCATTATATTAACAATATAATTAAGCATTATATTAATAATGTTAATACCATTTTAGACAGTATATGTTTTCTGCTTTGGAAATCTGCTTTTACTGGATTCCAGAACAAGTGGCAGTGTTAGCAAGAGAAACAATCCCCAGCCAGCCAGCCAGCCAGCCAACCATCCTCAGTAATCGAAGTGAAAAATAAATAACAGACCTTCATTTAATTGTTTCACCAATCTCATATTACTGTATAAGCTCAGTTTTGTTCTGAGGACGCATTTTGATTCTTTCTTCATCATCGTTTTCAAAGAAAGCTTCAGAAACTAATTGTTTTCAGTTGAATTCATAGAATCCAAGAATCAAAGAATTGAAAAGATCTCAGAAGTCCTCTAACCCAACTAACCACTTGATGCATGATCTGCTAAAGCACCTTGGACAAATAGCTTTCCAGCCTCCAGTAAAGAAAGACATAACACAATGAGGCAACCAAACCCTCCCCCTCTCCCTTGACAATTCTTATAGGAAATTATACCAAATAGTTAATTCAAATCTATTTCCTGTAGATAGACTAGTTCATGTCAATCGTTTTAAAAACTGGATATGATTATGACATCCTTAATTGTGTACCATATTGTCTTGTTTTTTTGGTTATTGTGTGGCTGAATTGTCTTTCCTTTGGGGCTATGAGGCAGTTGATAAATCATGAATTCACCACCTGGCTCCTTCCCCAGATTGCCTGCTGCTACTGTCATAAACAGCATGTGTGCTGCTGAGATGGCTTTAGAGCAAATTGTAGTAAATGACTTCACAAGGAAGCCAAGCTACATCCAGAATGAATGCATTTAAAAAAAAAAAAAAAGCATCAAAGCTATTACTTGGTACAATTAAAAAATATTTTCTTGAAGCAGACTTGGTGGCCATCAAATATTACAAACAAGCACTTTTCGTGTCATTCCTACTCACCAAAACAAATTGATTGTTCTCCTACACACATGTGAATGAGTTATGCATGTTCTGCAACCTCTGTGTAATAGGTTAATGGGGAAAAGCCCAGTTCAGACTAGTGTGTGGTTTGTTTCATTTCTGTTTTTTTTAAAAAAAACACGTATATCCCATTCTGCTGGTATAAATGCACACTGTACCATCTGTGGCTGTTAAAGAAACCCAGAGTGGCTCATTCCACAGTAAAAATATATAACATATCATATAGCAGTCATGGAAGGAGAGAAGGGATCAGCAATGAAAAGCAAATCATAAAACTGTATGTCATATCCAACGTTTTACAATTGTTTGCTATGGGAAACTCAGGTATGTGGCAAATTCTCAGCCACACAAAGGATACATTTTGATGAATGGTTTCTAGCAGTGCCTAACCCAGAAGCCTTCTGCAGCTATTCTGGTTTTCCATCTTTAGCATAGTTTTATAAATGCTAAGAAAAAAGTCAAAAAGAGCCAGACAACTTTGTTAGGCTACGAATAGAAAATGGCAATGGAGTCTTCCCATAACATTTCACGAATGGAGCAGGACATTGTAGAACAGTGTTTCTCAACCTTGACAATTTTAAGGCATGTGGACTTCAACTCCCAGAATTCCACAGCCAGCAATGCTGGCTGTGGAATTCTGGGAGTTGAAGTCCACATGCCTTAAAATTGTCAAGGTTGAGAAACACTGTTGTAGAATAATAATCTTATTTGAAAGTACCCCATAATATCAATGAAGACACTGAAAAATAACAAACCGATCAGGTGGGCCTTTTGCTGTACCCAACGTTCTGGCAATATACCGTGCCCTAGAGAAACCTACACAAACATCTCCTTTTTAAAAGGGAACTCCTTGCCCTACATAGTAATATTTAAAAGGATTGCAGTTTAAATAGGGAGAAACAGGAAACTGCTTACAGAATCCCCAACTTTCATGAGAAAAGTGTTAATACACAAAAAATCAGGAGGATGGATAATTAGCTCAGTTTGGCACTGCCATCTGTTTCTTTTAAAGCTGCATGGTTTGCAAGAGAATAGAATCAAATTCAGGAGGCTGCTTTCTATGCTAGATGGTATATTGACTAATTAGGCAGTAATTTTTTCTTCAGCAAACTCTATAGTGGAACTGAAAGAGCTGTCAATAGATCTCAGCAAGTATGTCTAACCATCATAAGGGTTTTTGTTGGTTACTTTCACTAGTGATTATAGCCTGGTGGGAAAGCCACAAAAACAGACTCTTTATTTTGCAGCTAATCCTAATTGATTCCACATTATAGCATAGGCAGAGTTGTTAAAGCAGTTTTATGCCATTAATTAGAGCATAGGAGAAGGCTCATTAGCTGCAGACAACACACACGGTGACTGATCAGAGTGGGTGCTTGTTCTCTTTTGTTGCTTGCAGAATGCTGTGGTGACAAGGGGCTGTTTCTGATATCACAGCATTATATGCAGCTTCTCTTGTCTGACAAAGTTACCTGTGGCACTAAGATTTAGGCTCCTCATTATTCCTGTACCCTTCATTACCATAAGATTAATGGCCTGTTCACTAATGGTGTGTTGCACCATGTGATCTGAGGAGATGGTGAAAGCTGCTGCTAATGTGATGCCCTTTTGGAAATGTCATTCTAATCTTTTATTAGTTTAAGGACTATAGCAGAATGAGGATTAGTGTCAACCTCAAAAGGGGAAAAAATTGTGCTGAGGGAGGAAAAACTGCAGCCAAATAATGTCGGCAGACCGGACACAGGGAGCTCCTTAGATGGATTAGATCTATTTAGTGATTGGGATTTAGAATGGGAGCAGATCCAATTCCTTTCTCTTTCTATTTGGTAAATCAACATTTCTTTTTCTTAGCAGTATCTCTAAAGTGGTATCAAATGGTATGGGTTATAACTGTGCTATTGGAACCCAAAGAATTTTGGATTGACAAGTGTCATGAGATTTTCAATGCACCTTCCCAAAGTAAGTTAAAAATCCCACTTCTGCTAAACTGCTCCCATTATTGGAAGCAGACTGAGATGTTAGGAGACACCAGCCTGGAAATATAAATTCATCTACGGTAGCACTAGATAAGCTGGTAATTCTTGCTGTTTTTAACTTTGACTTCCATAATGCCTCACTCCCTAGGCTGCTCTTTTTTGGAATATGGCAGGCCTTGACACTCTCATATATGAAACAGAAAATTTACTAAGTCATTAGCAGGTTCCAGGAATCCAGAAATTCTAGAAAATATATTTATCTATTTATGACTATAACAGAGCCTGGCAGATGATTGCAGACAGTAATTCCTTCCTTCCTTCCTTCCTTCCTTCCTTCCTTCCTTCCTTCCTTCCTTCCTTCCTTCCTTCCTTCCTTCCTTTCTTTCTTTCTTTCTTTCTTTCTTCCTTCCTCCCTCCCTCCCTCCCTCCCTCTCTTACTGATGAATTTCCAAATCTCCCTTTAGTATCTGTTGCTCTAATCTCACACAGTCCCATTTTCCCAGAATCATAAAAATCCCTATTTTGTCTCTCTTGTAATTCTTATCTAGTCAGACAGTTTATTCTTGTCTCTTGCTTAGAAGATCAAAATGAACCAAAGTGGCCATTTCTGGATTTCTTCACTTCTATTGCACCAGATATTCTACCCTCCAATATATGTATATATTGCATATATATTACAGTTATATGATATCTACAATGAAAAAACATCTCTCCCAGGCTCATATTCTTTCATTTTTATTAAAATTATGCTGAATGTATAAATAAATATGAGACAGAGGTTTTTTTCAAGTTTAATCAGATTTCTTCAGCCTTGTGTCCTAGAATAGAAAGATCAAAGTTTGCATTAATGTTTTCCTGAATATTTAGGTATGTCAGGTGGAAGTCAGTTCCCATTTTTGTCAAAGATTATGAAAGGTATTGTCTTCTATCACTGACTTCAAAAAGAGTGGAAAAATAGCTTCTAAAAAATCCTTTAATCAAATCAGGACTTTCTCATCAGAAATTTTTTATTTTAAAATTGGAAACTTTACCACTACTATATATATGTATCTGTGTTAATATCATCCTGATTTATTTGTAAAATTTTCAGGTCTGCTAGAAATTTTCTTACTTCATTTTTCGTTTCTGTTAACTATTCATGTTTGAAGAGTATATTTCAGCACTCTAGTTTTCCGCTTTGAAAGAAAAGTAAGGATTACAATTCTCATTATATCTGACATTTGCAGGGAAGAACTTTTCCCCATTGGATAGTTTTGTTCTTCACTATTATTGGAATGTTAAATATTTTAAATGTAACTTTACAATCTCCAGTTTTTTTAAAAAAAAATACAGTATCCATTATCAATTTAAGACAGGGCTTTTCAACCTTTTCACAGATTGTACCACTTTTAGGACATGACAATATTTGAGTACCACAAGTGTTTAGCAAGGTGTCAAAAACTTGATGACTAAAAAAATGGGGGGGGGGATTTTGGGTTTTACTGATTAGATTCATTTGTTGTTATAGAAACGACTAGTTTATAATATTATGGAAAAGTAAAAAGTTGAGGTTCAATGTTAATGCTTCCTTCTACTGCAACAGAAGAAGTCTGTTCTTTTTCCCTTTTCCCCCTCACTTTCCCCCCTTTTTCCTCCCCACTGTGTCCTACTATTTGCTTTTGTATTTTTGTATTTTATTCTGTAATCTAATAAAATATTACAAACTGTAGAAAAAAGGAAAAAAGGCTGGTTGAGGAATTCTGGGAGTTGAAGTCCACAGTCTTAAAGTTGCTAAGTTTGTAGACCCCTGAGCTAGCTGGTCAGCCATTCTTCCTCTCTCCCTCTCCTCTTCTTCCTCCCTGCCTTCTGAGCTCTCCTTCCACAGTGTAGTAAGAATGCACCCCCCAATCCCTTCCCTGTACCCTTAAAGACACAGGAATCAAGTGCAAAGCAAGAAAGGCGTACAAAAGTCTCCCAGAATAAAGAAACACATAAACTCCATTTTTTTCTTTAAGCTGCCTCAGGCATGTAACGTGTCACA